GAGGAGTGGCTGGTGGGTTTGAACCGCCAGCCTTCTGGTTAGCAGTCAAGTGCTTTTAGCCACTATGTTACCAAATGCCTTAGGCACTGTATAAACCTTCAAAAACAGTGGAAACCACTAAAAAAAAAAAAAAAAAGTGATAAAGGAACCCTGGTGACTCAGTGGTAAAGCGCTCTACTGATAACCAAAGGATCAACTATCTGAAGCCACCAACTTCTCTGTGGGAGAGAGATGTAGCAATTTGCTTCCATGAAGATTTTCAGCTTTAGAAACTTATGGGGGCAGCTCTACTCTGCCCTGTGTGGTCACTGATTCGGTGATTCGGTGACTTGATGGCAATGAGTTTTTTTGTTTTTTTTTTTTAAATAAAAATGACAGACGGAGTAAAGATATTAGGGAGAAAAAAACCCCTAAACTTTAAATAGGTACTATATAATTCAGCATTGTATTTAGGGTTGAGGTCCCTGGTTGCCAAAGTGAGAAGGGAAGAAATCTTAGAATGTTAGAAAGACCATTGTGCTGTTCAGTGGGGAAACTGAGGTCCCTAGAGGAAGAGGAGGCCCGTGCCTTAGGTGATGCACAGGCTGGGTGACAGAATGGAATAGATACCATCTTTTCAGCCCTGAAACCCAACTCTGGACTCTTGATTCTCTTGATCTGATAAGGGGGAGCCCTGTAAGCCAGAGACTGTTTCCCCTGGTAACTATGTCACGTGGTCCATCAGTGGGACACTGGCCAGTGTCCTCAACAGGGAATGGAAATTTGCCCGTGCTTGGCCTCTTGTGACCTCTGGTAAAGGGCTCGGGCGTGAAGCTTCACCCTCAGTCAGGGACCTCACCTTGGAAACTACTCCTTTGGGCACCCCACACTGTCCTCCACAAGGGCCTTTAAAAATGTCACCTGTTGAGCATCTACCATGTGCCAGGGCCTACACAGGGCACTGTACACTTGCCCTTCCTTTGAAAAGCCTCAGTAGCCCTTAGATGCCCCAACTCTTCTCCATTTACTGGTGAGGGAAACTGAGACTCACAGAGCTTAACTTCCTTGCCTAAGGCAATGCAGTTAGAATGGGGCTAGGGGGTGGTGGGGTTGTTAACCTTGCAAGGCTTTGGAGGGCGTTTCCAAGGACCCACCCTGGGAGCACCTGTTTCTTCCCATTTTGAGTCGTGCCACATCAGCAAATAAAATCAAAACCAAATTCACTGCCATCGAGTCAATTCTGACTTATAGCAACCCTCTTTGGGTTTGCAAGGCAGTAAATCTTTACCGAAGTAGATTGCCCAGTCTTCCTGCCACAGAGTGGCTGGTGGGTTTGAACCGCCAACCTTCTGGTTAGCAATCAGATGCCTTAGGCACTGCACCACCAGAGCTCCTTTCATCAGCAAATGGAAGTCCTAAAAGCTTTACTCCATCCATGTCATTAAGATAGACTCTACTTTGAGATTGGGCAATCTACTTCCATAGAGATGTTGTTGTTGTTGTTATGTGCCGTCGAGTCAGACCCGACTCATAGCGACCCCTCCTTGCGTTTCCGAGGCAGTATCACTACGGAAGTAGATTGCCCCATCTTCCTTCCGAGGAGTGGCTGGTGGGTTTGAACCGCCAGCCTTCTGGTTGGCAGTCAAGTGCCTTAGGCACTATGCTACCAGAGCTCCCTCCATAGAGATACCTACCGCCTTGGAAACTCAAGGAGGGGTCGCTATGAGTCAAAACGATTCTACAGCAGTGAGTTTGATTGTTGGTTTTGGTTGCTACTTTGAGGAGGCAGCTCTTCCCTCATTGTGTTTTGAGTGCCTTCTGCCCTGAGGGACTCATCTTCCGGCACTATATTGGACAAAGTTTCAGGGCTATTCATAAAGTTTACCAGCACTATATCAGACAGTGTTTCACTGCTGCTCATAAGGTTTTCACTGGCCCATTCTTTGAGAAGTGGATGGCCCCTTTTTCCCAGAAGAAGGGACTACTCCGTGGAGAAGGACATCACACTTGGTAAAGTGGAGAGTCAGTGATAAAGGGCAAGACCCTCAACAAGATGGGTTGACATCGTGGCTGCAGCAATGGGCTGAAGTATAGCAAGGATTGTGGGGATGGCACACGACCCGGCAGTGTTTTGTTCTGTTGTACATAGGGTCACTGTGAGAGGGAGCTGACTCCATGGCCCCTAACAACACCACCACCCTGGGAGCAAGAAGAGAATGTGCTGGTTTCTTCTAGAGCAGTTGGCTGGGAGGCTAAGGAAGGAGGGGGGAACTCGAAACCAGATACTCCAGGGAGCAGACAAAGGCCTGAGGCTGGCACTACCTGAGCCCTTCCCTCAGGGACAGAGGTGGAGCCAATACTCTAGCTGTTCACCACCTTGGGAAACCCCATCCACACAGGTGACCCCCCTGAGCAGCCTGGGATGGCTCTCAGGGGAGGATACTCATGGCTCTAATTTCTTCCCATGGACTGATGACTAAGTAATAGTTAATGGTCCCTTAGTACAAATGGGGAAAGTGAGTCTTGGGGTGGCTAGGTGCTTACCTGAGGTCACACAGCAAGTTAGTGGCAGGGCCTGGAAATGAACTGAGAGCTCCAGCTTCCATCCAGGGCTCGTACTCCCGGAGACCCAATGCCTCATGGGATTTCCCTGCCTGCATTGCTAGCATATAAGCAGATCATTTGTGGAGTTCCTACTATATTCTAGGAAGCTTATGGTATCTCAGTGAATCTACGGAACACTCTAAGTGTTAAATATAGACAAGGATCTTGGCTTTCAGAGAGGTTAAGTAACCCTCCCAGGGCCACATAGCTTAAGGAGGCTGTGGGCAGGGAGCCCAGACTGGTTCTGCGTTAGTTTCCCAGTGGCTCAAAGGTCCTTTGTCTCTGTTGCTCTGTGTGACTCTAAGATCTGATGCCCTAAGTCCATGAGGTACCTAGAGGGTCACAGTCCTATGTTGTCCCTGCCCTCGACTTGCCTGGGCAGTTTGCCTTCAGGGACGACATGCCTCTGGTGCGGTTGGAGGTGGCCGATGAGTGGGTGAGGCCAGAGCAGGCTGTGGTCAGGTACCACATCGAAACAGTGTTCGCCCGCAGCTCCTGGGACTGGATCGGCTTGTACCGGGTGAGAATGGCAAGGGCGATCAGCCACTCTGGGCAGGAAGGGGCACTAAGGTGGGGTCCCTGGTTTGCCTAGAGTTTGATGTTGTACCCAGAGGCAGGCATTTGGGGTCACAACCCCCAATCTTCTCACCCCAGGTGGGTTTCCGCCACTGCAAGGACTACGTGGCTTACGTGTGGGCCAAACATGAGGATGTGGATGGGCACGTCTACCAGGTACTTAGGGGAGGGGGGAGGGGGGTTGCCATTGTCATTAGGGGCTCAGAGCTCGGCTTGGGTGCCCTTGAGGCTGCCTCTGACTCCATCCTCCACCAATACCCTGGGCCCACCAGGTGACGTTCAGTGAGGAATCACTGCCCAAGGGCCATGGAGACTTCATCCTGGGCTACTACAGCCACAACCACAGCATCCTCATTGGTGTCACTGAACCCTTCCAGGTAAGGAAACTGAGTCTTGGGCTAGCTAGGTATGAGGTACTAGAGGGTCACACTCCTATGTTGTCTCAGACTGTGGGTCGGAGATGCCCAGAGATGCTGTTCAAATTCCTCAGACTGACCTCCCTGGGAGGTCAACTGGTCCTCCAAGGGGAAAGGTGGGGGTGGTATCTTAGTCATCTAGTGCTGCTATAACAGAAATACCACAGATGGGTGGTTATAACAAACGCATTTATTTTCTCACAGTTCAGGAGGTTAGAAGTCTGAATTCAGGGTTCTGGCTCTGGGGAAGGCTTTCTTTCTCTGTTAGCTCTTTATCTCTTTAAGTTTCTGCTCCTAGGAGATCTTCACATAGCTGGACATCTCTCTTCCTTCATCTCTGCTCTGCTGGCTAGTTTAATCTCTTTTATATCTCAAAAGAGATTGACACGAGACATACCCTACATTGATCCTATCTCATTAACATAACAAAGACGACCACTTCCCAAATGGGATTATAACTGAAGGCATAGAGGCTTGCATTTCCAATATATATTTTTGGGGTACACAATTCAACTCATAACGGGTTCCAAGAAGCTTTAGTAGCTGGGTTGGGGGGACGAGGTACACCAGTAACCATGGTTCCCCTCAGATCTCGCTGCCTACCTCGGAGTTGGCTAGCAGCAGCACAGACAGCTCGGGGGCCAGCTCAGAGGATGAGGATGACAGCACCCTGGAACTACTTGCACCCAAGTCCCGCAGCCCCAGCCCTGGCAAGTCTAAACGGCACCGAAGCCGCAGCCCAGGTCTGGCCCGGCTACTCTAGCGAGCGCGGCTGGCCAGCGGGCCGAGGGCCGAAGCCAGGCTCCGACAGATGTGGCCACCGGCGCTCACCACCTTGGCTCCCGCAGCCCAGGTCTGGCCCGCTTCCCTGGCCTTGCCCTTCGACCCTCATCCCGAGAACGCCGTGGTGCCAGCCGCAGCCCCTCTCCTCAGAGCCGCCGTCTGCCCCGGGTAGCTCCTGACAGAAGTAGTGGTAGCAGCAGCCAGGGCAGTAGTGAGGAGGTGCCCTCCAGGTTGCCTGGCCCCTGGGCCTTCCCACCAGCTGTGCCTCGAAGCCTGGGCCTGCTGCCCGCCTTGCGCCTGGAAAGCGTAGACCCTGGTGGCAGCAGTCGCAGCGGCTCTTGGGGACCTGATCCGGATACCCCAGTCTCCAGCAGCCTGTCTCCCAGTCCTCAGGGCCAGCAGGGGCTGGAGGAGGGGGGCCTGGGTCCCTGAGAGGCAGAGTGTGGACCCATCTGCCCTCTTTGTCCCAATCTCCCGCAAACCCGCCTGCCTCTTTCCTGCTGCTGTTCCAGCTCAATCTGCACACCTGGGGTGGTCACCTGGGGCCCCCAAAACTCGGCCACCGCATCTCAACTGTGACAATCAGCAAAGCTCCATCCTGGCCTCCATCTGGGATGGAGGTGGGAACTCTGGCAGATGTCCCATCCGGGATGTCATCGTTAGGAATTAAATTCTCTAGCACCACTTCTGTCTCTTTCCTAACTTGTTAGCAGGGTGGAGGTGGTTATGTCAGAGGAAGGGACTCCAAAGGTAGAGGGGGGAGAAAACTGACATTTACATTACACACATTATCTCTTTCATCTGCATCACAATGCTGTGGGTTCACATCCCGTTCTTAGAACCACTTCACAGGTAAGGACACTGAAGCCTCCGAGAGGACTATAAGCCTCTGTTTTGGTTACTGAGTGCTGCTCTAACATAAATACCACAAATGGGATGGCTTTAGCAAACAGAAATTTATTCTCTTACAGTTTTGGGGGCTAGAAGTCCCAAGTTCAAAGTGCCAGGTCTAGGGGCTAGGTGAAAGCCCCTTGACCTTGGGCTTCAGTTCTGCCTCTTGCTTCTGGCCCACTGGAGCTGGAGGTGTCTCTAACTCAGGCAGCTACCAGCTGCTGAGGCTGACAAACCCAAGGTTGACAAGTTAAATGGCATAGTCCTGATACTACCAGACCACACAGCAGGCCGTTGATTCAAGTCCCATTAACAGTCCCAAGATTGGCAGGCTACTGAACAACAAGTCAGCTACATGCAGTGTTCAAGTGTGCCGAAAGCTGGAGACCTTTCTCAAAGTTCTTATATACTAGAAGGAGACATCCCTAAAGCAGCTACTCAGCTGCTCTAGTCGATTCCACCATGGAGTTAATTACCAATCTCACCATGGGGAATAACTACATCCAACTGTCCAGCCACTGAAAACCAGGCCCAGCCTAGTTGACACATAACTACCACAGCCTCTCAAGATCAGACACCTAATGGCTGTGCATTGGAGGGAGGGAATATTTCCTAGGTGCTAAGCTCTGGACATCGGGGCCGACTCGATGGCAAACAACAACAACAACAACAACAAGCTCTGGACATGTTCTGGTTCACTTAATCCTCAACAACCCTATGAGGTAGCTCCAGTTTACAACCCCCTTTTTCAGAGGAAGCTCAGAGTGAAGGGGACAGGGGTGTCCCTTTCTCAGGAGCAGAGGGAGAATTGAATTTAGATTTAGGGCAGAGTGGTCCAGGGCTGGGCTAGGAGAGACGCAACAGCTGTCAAGTGGCCCCTCCCCAGTGTCCCTGTCATGGATTAAGACACAGGCACCTGTGTGACATCCCTCTTTCCCCACCTGCTGCTCAGGCATCCCTGCAGCAGCCAGGCACCACTGGGGTCCATGAGACACATACTAATTTTGTGACATGAGTATACTCCCCTGGGCTGTACCTCTTGGACTACTGCAATAAGTTACCTCCTCCACCTTCCCATCTGAATGAGAAGTTGCCTAGCAAGGTCCACGCCCAGGGCCTCAGAGAGGCCTTTCTTCTGAACAACACATCCTACCACAGAGGGGATGCATCACCAGCCCAAGGTCACCCACAGCAGCAGGAGACATTGATCAGCACTTAGGCCATGGGGTCCTCCCCTTCCAACCTCTGGTTGCCCACAAAAACCCCTGCCATGCTTCAGTCTAACCCATGGAGAGGGAGCGGAGGCCCCCAGGGCCTGGCAAAGCCAAAGTCAAGGTCAAGGTCCAGGCTGGTACCCAGGAGAGCTGCAACTGAGATCACTGGGTCCAGGCTTTCTGCTGCCCAGTGGGGCTCTGTGCTGCCTGGGTCAGCTGCAGGCACTGGTTGTAGAATGTCACAGGGGTTCCTGGGTGCTCTGAAGGCCATACCTGTCCCTCTTCCGGGCCTGCATCCCAGACCTGGAGTCGCTTCTGTTGAAGCCGCCGTAAGTGTCGAGCAGACACTTGGATGGCCCTAGGGCCTCCGGGACAGCTGTGGGGAGAGAAGAATGGTGCAGGTGGTCAGACTGACAAGGATCCCAGGTGGAGAGACTGAGGCCCAGAGAGAGTAGAGGTGGGGCCAGGGCCACCAGCAAAGAAGGGAGACAGGGTTACACCTAGGAGGGGGCAGAATAAACCCTGGGCTGAGGCCAGGATTCTACATTAACTAGGTGGCTGTGGGGCCTTGGACCCAGCCTAGGCCTTGGTTTCCTCCCCTGCAAAATGGGCAGGATCACAGTGGCTGGCTTTCAGGATCAGAATCAAATGCAACTGTGAATCAGGGTTAAGAGTTAAGCAAGCAGACAAGCCTTGGGCTAAGTGCAACACAAGCACCATCTCCTTGGCTTCCACAACCAATTTCAGATAAGGAAATGGAGGCTCAGAAAACTCAAGCGCTATTTCTACATATGTATTTGTGTGTGCTTAAGAATGTCCATGTAACTAGAACTAATGGGGCAAAGTTATGATAACTTCTTAGGCACCCTGGTGGAGCAAGTTGTTGGACCTGTGGGTTTGGAACCATGGTCGCAGGGAACATCAAGCTCAATTGGCATAACATACTACACAACATTGATCTACGTTTTACTTTGGTGAGTAGTGACTGGGGTCTTAAAAGCTTGCAAGTGGCCATCTAGATGCAACGATAGGTCTCTCCTCATTCAGAACACAGAAGAATGAAGAAAACCAAAGATCCATGGAAACAATTAGTCCAAGGGACTAGTAGTCGAAGCAAACTTCAGCCTGTCTGACCATGAAACCAAAGAGCAAGATGGTGCCTGGCTACCTCTGCAACCACTTGGAAAGGGATTAGTGCAGGAGGTACTGGATAGAGTGGGAGAACAATATGGAACTAAACTCAGAATCATAAAATAAAATTTAAAAAGACCAGGTTGACTGGTCTGATAGAGCCTGGTGAGACCCCCAAGACTATGTATGGCCCCTAGTTACCCTTCAGGTCTGGAACTGAACTCATTCCTGTGGCTTCCACCCAGGCAATAGACAAGCATATGGGGTGAACATTTATATCAGGTAGATACACTCCTTAGATCAATCATGGGAGATCAGAAGGGCAGTATTGTGCATAGGGAAATAGCTCAAGGCGCAGGAATGCATAGGAAAGAAGGACACAGGGAAGAGGTAGCTACAGGGAAGAAGGGGGAAAGGAGCTGTTGCATTGTGGGGAAATGCAGTCAATGTTGTGAAGCAAAATGTCTATGAATTGCTGTATGGAAAATGAATTTGCTCTGTAAACTTTCACCCAAATCACAATAAAAATTAAAAAAAAAAAAAAAAAAAGATCAAGCAACTTGATAAGGTCATGTAGGAGGTAAATGACTGAGGAGAGATGCCACTCACATGGGCCAACTGCAGAGCTCCAGCTGGACCAGGGTGGCGAAGAGGGGGTGATGACAGTGAGCTCAGAGGCCCCTGGCCCCCTCTTACGCCCCCTCGGCCAAGCCTATGGAGGGGTGAGGGTCTCTTATGCCCCACCCAGCCTTCCTGTCACTCACCTTTTGTCCTCAGCACAGTCCAGGGGAGGAGCCAGCTTGAAGCAGCTCTGGCCCGGCAGTTCCCAAAGTGTGTTGGTGCCCACTGGTGGGCTGTGGAGCCTCAGGAAGCGCGCCAGGCTGTGGGCAGAGGCAGGCTCAGGCCAAGAAGCGCTGCGCCAGCCAGGGGCCCCATCCCAGGGCCTGGCAGCAGGGACCCACCCCCAGAGTCTGAGCAGGCCTCACCGACGTGTGCAATTGCAATGGAAGAGGGGCTGGTGGGCACTGTTGAGCAGCTGAAACTTGGTCTCCCGGGGCTCGATCCTGTGCTCACATAGGTCCAGGTGGCGGAAGCTACGGCAAGCCTGGTGAGCAGCTGGGGGCGGGAGCAGTGGTGAGGGAAGCCCAGTGACTCAGGGCATCCCCATCACTGCACCACCATCCAGGTGCCACCTTGGCAACCATACTCTCTCTCACACACACACACAGTTCCTGTGGTTCCTACTCTGCATGTCCTCCAGGGCTGTACCCAAGTGCTGAGCGGGGCTGGTTAGGGAAGGCTTCCTGGAGGCAGAGGCTTCCAGGCTCTGGCTGAATCAGGAAGTGACAAACACTCCAGGCAGAACAGCACTTGCAAAGGCCCAGAGGTGGCTGAGAGCACTCGACTCGTGAGTGAGCAAATGAAGTCTGTGGACTTGGAGCTTCTACTCTGGGGTACGGTCTGTCGGTCCAGAGCCTGAGGGTGATGGGGTGTCATCAGCTGAAGGAAAGAGGAGCCACGGCAAGAGTTCGAGCAGGGGGTGACACGGTCAAGTTGATGGTTTATGAAAACCCCTCTGGCTGCATTGTGATTTGATGGAATGGGAGTGGTGGGGACACTCTGAGAGGAGTGTAGAACAGGACGGGAGGTGACACACACCTCTTCATGCTAGGAGCCCCAAGAGACAGGAGTCCTTCCAGCAGGGAGGGGCTGTGTTCCCAAGCCAAACGTTACCCTGCAGCCACCTGTCTTCCAGGAAAGGCGATTGCACCTACAGTGCAGGTCACAGGCCCAGCTGGGTTGGGCCCTGAGCTCACCTTTGGGTTTTAGGCCGTTCCGTGGCCCCTGGAGGCCGGGACGGGGCACCCGCAGGGTTGTGCTGCTGACTTTGCTGAGGTGCTTGGGCCTTTCCAGCTGTGGTGACCACTTCTGAGGGTGTTGCTTTTTTCTGGCCTTGCTGGAGGCCGGACTGGGAGTCAGGGGGGTGGCTCCCGGAGAGGAGCTCCAGGAGGCATTGTAGAATGTCCTGGGCTGGAGGCGGGCAAGGGGGGCTGAACCATAGGTCCTACACCTGGGGGATGGCAACCGGTGGCAGTTAGTGATCTGGAATTCCCTTTCCTAGAAGGCCCTGGGGTTGTCTCCATGGAGCCAAGACTCTACCAGTCCCACCTGTCTCTCACTGGACTATGGGGGGGGGGGCACCAGGGAGGGTCTGCATCCTGGACAGGCAGGACGGACAGACAGATGGCCTCCCTCCTCAGGCTTGGAGGCTGCTCCTCGGCTGGGAAGGGGCTCAGGGAGAGCAGTTGCATACCCGCCCCACCAGTACCACTCCACACAGGCCTCCTGCCGTTCCAGGACGAAGCAGGGGATCTCCATGATGTTGAAGAAGGCCACACCCACGATGTCCGAGATGGAGTCACGCTGGTTCCGCAGGCATTGCTGGAACCTGCCCAGAGCTGGCATTCAGGTCTCCGGACCACAGAGGGCCACCTGGCCCCCAGTCCACACCCTAACACCACCAGCCAGATGGCCTGGGGCCCAAGAGTCCCTTCTCTCAGGCCTCAGCTCTCCCACCTGCACACTGGGGTCCAGACTAACGCATCCTGAAGAAGCTTCTGGAATTCCAGAGTCTGCACCCAGAAACTGGGCCAACTCTGCTGAGCCCTGTGCCCCCAGCCCTCCGTGCCTGCCACTCACCTGGCATCACAGTCGCAGTGGGAAATGGTGTGGAAGCGGTAGTTTCGGATGCCATAGTTGTACTGGAAGGGTGAGATGTTCTGTGGGCAGCGGTCGTGTTCCCGGCAGCAGAGATCGGGGCCCTGGAAGACCCTTGCAGGGAGGGGAGGGGGGGGTGCTAGCTCAGCAGAGTTCTGGACACCACACACTAGCTACACCCACATGCTATCAAGAGCGCGGCCCTGGCATGGATGCCCTGCAAGCCTGTTACTCTTCCTCTGTAGAATTCTTACAACTGGAAAACCTGAAGAGAGTGCTAAGGCCCACGGCCCTGGTGTGAAGGTGCTGATGCTGGGAGGCCACCCAGAAACACACGGGAAGAACTGGAATCTGCCTCCAGAGTTCCCGTGCTCACACCCAATAAAATCCAAAGTTAGGAATGTGCGTGGCACAGAATGCAGGAAGACAGGGTGTGCCTTTTCTTGCTGGCATGATGAGGTGTTGCCAGGATGCCAACCTGCTCCAACGCAGGTGCCAAGCCCTCTTCCTTCAGCCCTCCGTGTAAATGCACAGGCAGCTTGTGCCAAGAGCAGAAAAAAAGGCACTGAGTTTATCACCGTCTGAGCAACAGCACTGTTATTTCAGCGCTGCCCACACCCAAGTTCATGGAAGCCTTCACGGCGGCACTGGCTCCATTCTATAGATGAGAGGACTGAGGTCCAGAGAGGACAAGGGACTTGCCCACCTTGTACGTGTTGAGCTGGGATTTGAACCGAGGTCTTTGAGCTCTATGCCACAAAGCCTGCTATTAGTGGCTTTTTGGCTCAGTAGTTGCTGGAGCCACTCCAACTTGCTCCCTCCCTTGGTTTGGTGATTAACGAGGACTCCCAGGTTTGAGCAGGCCCTTCTCCATCTGTCACCTCCTTTAAGCATCCCATGATGCGACTCATTGTCACCTCCACTTTACAAATGAGGACATTGAAGCTCAGAGTGGTTAAATCATTTCCCCAAGGACACACAGCCTGGGAGAGTGGGGGCCAACACTAAAGCCTGTACTTCCTCCCTTACCCAGGACCCCAGGGCTCACCTAGCTCTGAGAAGTTCCTGGCCGAGTCCCCGACGCCACACCACAGTGTGCCAGGCATGGTCCAGCCTCTCTTGGCCCGGTGGCATCCCCCGCCATTCTGTCCGGCGGCTCGCTTCTTCCTGGCCTCTGCTGGCGGCTCCCCGGGCCCTCGGCAGGCAGCCCACTGACTCTGAAGGGTGTTCAGGACTCTCTGCAACTCCGGCCCAGGGGTGTGTGTGAAGGCGCCCCGAGTGGTCTCATGCGTACAGAGGGTACGGAAGACTGTGGTGAGCTCGCGCTCATCTTGCCGGCTACACGCCTGCAGCTTCCCACGCCCATCCCAGCGGGCGTGGAACAGGGCCAGCCCCTGGGCATCCTTGCCTAGGAAGCTCAGGTACCCCAGGGGGCCACCGGGCGTGGGCGCAGACAAGTGGCAGGATGTGCTGTCCCAGCGGAGAGCAGGGGAGTCTCCCAGAGCCACCTTTAGGAAGCTCAGCACCCCCAGCAGCGCCCCTACAACCCCCATCCCTCCCCGGCCCAGGGTGGTCAGACAAAGCCCCAGGGACGCCTGCCCCCGTCAGCCTACAAGGGAGCCTCTGCAGCCGAGCGGAAGAGGTGCCGCGGCTCCAATGAATGGAGCTGCGGGAGGAGGAGGAAGGCGGCTGGAGTGTGGGGTGATCTCGAGCCTGTAACTGAATCCACCGGCCGCGCAGGCCGCTGATTGGCCAAGGAGTGTACTTGCCGGGGCCCACGCCCCCACTCACCCTGCCCTTCTCAGCGCCATCCAGTCACCTGCTGCCAGGCCCCGCCCATAAAGGGTCTGTGGGCGCCAAAGTCCCGGGCACTGGTGGGGCCTGGAGTCATCTGCATATCCCTGGAGAGGGAGTAGGTTCAAGGATCTCAGAGCCCCTTCTTGTTCCCTTACCCAGAAGTGGCTGCCACACTCACCTCCATCAGCCTGGCAGAAGTCCATGAGTCAGTCATCACAGCTGGGTGGAAGAGGTGAGGGCAGGGCTGGGGCTCTGTGCCCACCACCCTTGGAGCTCAGGGGCTTCTGGGAAAAGGAATACCCATCCCCTGACCACCTGGGTGCTTCCTCTCCAGTTCTGGTCCTTGGAAAGGCTCTTGGCATATCCAGGGGCAGGGCCCCAGGGCTCCCACTTCCTGGAACTCTGAGCACCTGCCCTGGTGGAAGATCAGCTCTCCGGGTCTAACTGTGGAGACGCAGTGGGAGCAGGACTTGAGGGCAATGTGGGTGGGGCTGGCACTCTCCCCTTGGAAGGACTGTGGTCCCCAGAAGAGCCAAGGGTGGCCAGACTCTGGGGCTACGGTACCTCCATCCCTGGACTGTAACCAGCTGGGGGATATGCAGTCATCATATATGTCCCCATGCTATGAGTCAGGTCCGACTCGAGGGCACATAACAACAATAACATATATGTCCCCAAGAGAGATGTGTCCTTCCAGCAGGGAGGGGTCCTTTTATTGGGGACCATTGCACTATGTCATCAGGGAACCAAACTCAAATCAAACCCACTGCCATACGTCAGGAGCTCTGGTGGCATAGTGCCTAAGGCACTTGATTGCTAACCAGAAGGCTGGTGGTTCAAACCCACCAGCCACTCCTCAGAAGAAAGGTTGGGCAATCTACTTCCATAGTGATACCGGCTCAGAAACCCAAGGAGGGGTCGCTATGAGTCAGATCCGACTCAACGGCAGTGGGTTTGGAGCCATTGTGTCAGTTATTACTCATAGCGAGTCCCACATGGTTTCCAAGGCTGTAAATCTGTATAGGAGTAGATTGCCTCATCTTCCACCTGCAGAGCAACAGGTGGGTTTGAACTGCCGACCCTGTACTTAGCAGCCAAATGCCTTACCCACTGCACCGCCAGAGCTCCTTAACGATCAGGGGAAGCTGAAGTGATTGCAGTCAGAGTGCAGGTGAAGAAACTCAACTTAGTGAGGTGAGGAAACCACAGGTCACAGGCCTAGGTAGGGAGGGGCTGGAGCCTGAGTGTGGCGCTCTTAGGGGGCTTTGCTGGGGCGGGGGTCAGGGCTAGCCAGGGCAGGGACTTATCTGTCTGACCACCTCCTTATGAGCTTTCTGCTCCCCCAACACCCCTCAATCTCCATAGAGTCTCTTTCTGTGTATGAACCCCAGTGAGGGGGAGCCCAGGCAGAGATGAGGGTTCAAGCCCATCTCTATGGCCTTAGTACCAGCCTGGGCCTGTGACCCAAAGGCTCTTGTCTGGGAACAATAAGGAGAAAGGAAAGTGGTGGGGGTGCCTCAGGAGCCAAACTCATTTCAAGTCAAGAAAGTGGGTGTGGGTGGGGGCAGGGCCGGTGGGGGCAGAGGTGGTGGGATACACAGATTCCTAAGGACAGAGCCGTGACTGAGCAAAGGTGGTTCCTTTCTGAAGAATTCCAACATTGGAAAACCATGTTCTGGAATTTTCCCAATTCTAGGGACTGCTACCCACCTCTGCCCTCATTGTCCTGATTCCAACCGTTCCCTGCCTGCGTTACTATGGCAGGAACATAACTTTCCAGGTCAGACATGCCAGGTCCATCTGTGTGGCCCTGGGCAAGTCTTCACTTCTCTGAGCCTCAGTTTCCTCTTCACCTCTGCCATGGACATAGTGACAGTCACCCCATGGGGCTTGGGTAAGACTAGGTACTGAGCCTGACTGTCAGAACCCTGTCCTGTTCCTTTAGCCTCAGGATATCCCTGGACGAGAAGTGATTGCCCAGGGAGACCAACACCCAAGGTTTTTGACCTCAGCATCCACATCCAGTCCCAGCGAGGCCACTGCCTGGCTGTTTGACTTAGAGCTTGTCCCTGGCCCTTTCTGGGCCTGGCTTTCCTTCTCTGTGCAGTGAGGAGCTGGGAGTTGATCTCTGTGGTCTTTTCCAGTCTGGTCCCAAAGGGAGCCAGGCCAGTGCCTGCCCAGGCCTCAAGAGGGTGTCACTGGGCTTTCCCTTCAGACTCCACCAGGGTGACCACGCCTGTCAGCCTCTGGAACAGGCTCTAGTGCCCTACTTCCCATCACTGGGTCCATCAGAGGCCTCAGTGCAGAAGGTTGGAGTGAGCAAACCAGCAGAACAGGACAGCTGGGTCCTGCAGATGCCAGGGGACCAAGGCTTTCCCCTGAGTCTCCACCTCTCCAGGGTGGGGGAGGGTGCATGGTGAGTGCCAGTGGGGAGTGAGGGATGGGGGCCGGGGAGAAGGTGTTCCCTTCGCCCTCCCCTTTGTGTGTTTCTACCCCATCTCTCTCCATCACTATGTCTCCTTTTGACAGCTCTCTCATTTTCTTTGTCTCTTGGTCTCTTTCCCTCTCTGGCTCTGCTTCTCATCACTTCCTTCTGTCTCCTCTAGCTTGCTGTCTCCCTCTCTTTTTCTGCCAGTTTCTTTCTCTTTTTTGTTCCTCTCTGCCTCTCCTTGCAGTTTGTCACTGTTCCTCTCCGTTTCCCTGTCTTTGTCTCAGACACTCTCTCTCTGCCTCCTTTCCTTCTGATTTCTCATTTTCCCTGCCCTTCTGTCTCTCTCTACTCTTATTCTCTCCATCTCTCTCTCTCCCTCACACACACACACACACACACACACACACCACATGATCCATGATAGTCCCTCCTTCTCCTGTCTCTCATATTTTCTCCATCCTGTTTCTCTTGCTAAGGAGCTCTGGTGGTGTAGTGACTAAGGTATTTGACTGCTAACCAAAAGGTCAGTGGTTCAAACCCACTAGACACTCCATGGAAGAAAGATGGGGCAGTCTGCTTCCATAAAGATTTACAGCCTTGGAAACCCAATGAGGGTCGCTGTGAGTTGGAATCAACTCAATGGCAATGAGCTTGGTTTTTGGTGTGGTCTCTTTGGGTATCTTTCTGTGCATCTCTCCCTACTCATTTTCTCTTTCCCATCTCTCTCTCTGTCTCTCTCTCTCTCACACACACACACACACACGCACACGCGCACACACACACAAGCACACTCCATATCACTCCCTCCTTCTCTGTCTCTCACATTGTCTCCATCCTGTTGTTTCTCTCTCTGTGTGTATCTCTCTGTGTGTCTCATTTTGTATTTCCTCCTCTGCCTCTCATCGATTTTCCTTTCTTCCTTCTCTGGCTGCCCTCCCTCTGCCCACTGGGACCCAGGGCCCAGGACCACAGAGATGCCCACCATGTGCCTTGTCCTTTCTGTTCACATTTTCTAGCCATGACCTCATCTAATGTCACATCCATGCCCCTCCCTGGGGAGACAGGCCGGGCAGGTCTCTCACCCCATTGTAGAGATGGATGAGTGAGCCCCAGAAGAGAAGTGACTTGCTGCAAGTCCCGATGTGGAACAAGGGAGAAGCCAGGTCTGCTCCCCTCAGGGCAGACTCTTGCTCCATGAAGCCTCCCCAACTCTGGGCCTTTCTCCTATGGTCCTGGCTGGGTGCCCCTCCCTCTGCCTAGAGGACTCTGCTGCTCTGTGCCAGGAGAATGGAGCAAGCAGTGCCTAGCTCCAGCATTCTGTGCTCACTCAGAACAGTTACTGAGTGTCTACTATGCACCAGGCACAGGGTGAGGCCCTGGACAGACCATGCTCTAGTGAGGTGGGGAGGGACCTTGTATCCTGAAGGGACCAGACCAGGGCCTGAATGCCAGGTGCAACCTCACAGATAGAAGTACAGGAGATTTATTGCAGGAAAGGTCTGGAAAAGGGGGAGGGAGCAAGATTGAGCACAGAAGCTGTTTCGGTTACCTAGTGCTGCCATAGGAGGAGCTCTGGTGGCATTGTGTTTAAGCATTTGACTGCTAATCAAAAGGCTGGTGGCCACTAGCCGCTCCATGGGAGAAAGATGAGGCAGTCTGATTCCATAAAGATGGAAACTGTGGGGCAGTTCTGTTCTGTCCTAGAGGGTCGCTATGAGTTGGAATAGACTCAATGGCAGTGGGTCATAGTGACCCCCTTTGGGTTTCTGAGGCAGTAAATCTTTATGGAAGTAGATTGCCCAGTCTTCCTTCTGCAGAGTGGCTGGTCGCTTTGAACCACCAACCTTCTGGTTAGCTGTAAAATGCCTTGGGTACTATGTCACCAGAGCTCCTTATAACAGAAATACCAAAAGTGGGTGGCATAACAAAAAGAAAGTTTGTTTTTTCACAGTTTAGGAGGCTTAAAATCAAAATTCAGAGTGCTGGCTCTAGGGGAAGGCTTGTCTGTTGTGTCTTCTGAGCTTTGCTCCTCGGCAATCTTCATATGACTTGGCATTTCTCTTCCCTCATCTCTGCTTCCTTCATTGCTTGTATACTCTTTTTTATATCTCAAAAATCACCAGTTGTCTGTTAGTTTGTCATACTGTGGTGTATTGTGTGTTGCTTTGAGGCCGGAGGCTATGTCACCCATATTTCAAATACCAGCAGTATCACCCATGGTGGATAGGTTTCAGCAGAGCTTCCAGACTAAGACAGAGTCAGAAGAAGGAAGGAGCCATCCACTTCTCAAAGAATTGGCCAATGAAAACCTTAAGAACAACAATG